CCTGGATCTTTCCACCCCAGCCCTGAGGTTCCACACAAAATAATGACAGCCTGCCTGAGAGAAGCGCGACCGTCTTGGGGCCATCTCGCGCAATCCGATAGTCGGTTGCTGACACTCCGCAGTCAGCCGAGACGCCATTCCTTAGGCAGTCTCAGCCCGCGAGTCACAGGAATCACTCCTCACACTAAGAGGCACCAACTCATTTTGGTGGATGCTGGGTGCTTATGCTGACGAGACGCTCAATAAAAATCACGCGGTCCAGGGAAGACAAGGACTCGCCCGTTATCCTTGGTCAGATGGCGAGCTGCATTTTTTAAGACATCCGGGGCGGGTCCATGGTGAGTCTTTCAGCAGGCAAGACTCGTCACAGTGCAACTGGTCCCTGCTGTGCATGTCGCATCCTGGCGAAGACATCGCCATTGCAGAAGCACAGTCGCAGAGCTCGCAGAGCCTAGCACAAAAAGAGAAAGGGCCTGGTCGTTGGGTGACGGCCCTCGAACAGTCAGCCGACCAGCAATGCTATGAAACTCCGCGGCAGAGTCGCACGCCCCGGCAGAACTCCTGGCCGAACTCCGTGGCTTCTGCTCAGCTCCGACTGTGACCTGTGCTCAAGAAGCAGGCGCCCCTCCTCGTAGAAACGGCCGTCGAGTCGTAGTCTGCACAGTAGCAAATGCTCCACCTTGGGTCCGCAAAAAGCCTCCAACTCAGCGCTCCTCTCTAATCGGTAGAAACCGCAGACCGAGCATCTTGACCTGGCTAACCTGATTGAAACATGCGCAGTTGAACATGCACTTGTGCCCACAGTTGTCCCCGTGTTCTTGTTAACACATGCATTTATCAGTGTATGTGTGCATCGTATTTGTGCATGGATCGGTCATACATACGTACATACATACATCCATCCCACAGGAAAAGGGAGGAGAGTCACCAAGCCTCGGGGGTGAAGTCAGCCTTTAAGGGTCATAGAATAATTGGGTTCCGACATAATTGATACTGATACTAAATAAGATGTGCTGGGCGATAGGTTTTCGCTTCTTTCCAGAGCTACAGACTGCATATGAGGCACCCGATGCGATCTGAGAACCCGTGAAATCTGACATGCTGCAATAGATCCTAAAAATCAAGGGTTCGAAACGATACTTAATCATATGAGCTATGATTACCAGAGCGCGTCTGCCCGAAGAGCCAGCTTGCACACGTATGTACGCACCACATACATGACATACACCTGTTAGGCCTATTCAAACAACTACCGGATCGGGCTTCACATGACCTCGAAGAACTTGGACAAAAGTCAAAGGGAAGAACGCAGGTGCTTCTGAATAAGCGCATGCCACTGGCCGCCCCGAGGGAGGTCTGACTTGGACAAGAGGACGACCATGCCGGCCGTCACGTTCACATACCTGCAGAGGCGGTTCTGACACGTTTGGACTTAGACGAAGCCAGTGTCAGCATGTCAAAGCTCAGAGCGTTGATTCTCAGCTCTGGCAGGTCGCTCATGGGATGAAGGCAGCTCAGTCTTGTGTGATTCGCACAGGTTGCACAGGGCAAATGCCAAACACGGACAACACAAGAAAAGCTTGTTTTTTTTGGCACTCACACTCGACAAAGCAGGCGAGGCTCCGGTCCGACGAAAAACACATCAAGCAAGATCCCCAGCGTGTTAGCCAAAGACCCGGCATGTGTCTAACGCTCTTGTTCCAAACAATCGGCCGTTGGTGCAAGCTTCTGACATCCAGTACCCCGCCCAGGTCTCAACCACAGAGCAGCCAGGATGCTGCCCCTGTGCCATTGTGTAGGCCGCTAGGCTGCGGCTGTCGAGCGTCGCCCCCGTGTAACTTGCCCCATTGCCTTGTTCCTGGGGTTCTGAAGCTGAAGCCGGGCACAAGGCGTCCAGTTACCCTGAAGACCCTCTTCTAGCTCGAAATTCCGAGCTTCATCATCCCTCCCCTGCGTCTGGCAGTTGCCCCGGCTGTCCATGGCGAGCTCCAGGAGGCCAGCAGAACCATAGATCCTAGGCAGAGGAATGGGAGAGAAAAACCTAAATGCGGCCTGTCAAAATTGCTGCCCAAGCGTCTGTCGGAGGACGAAAGCAATGCGGTTGCCAACGGCCAGGCCCTTCACAAGCGAATTCCGTTCTGAGTTTCCATGGGTGTGCGACCCCATCTTCGGATCCCGGCCTGACCATGGAAGGTACCGAGAACACAGGGGACTCCCGCCGTGCAGACCTGGTCCTCGCCGCCCATGGGACCTGTGCCGCATACAAAACTCTTCCTGATGCCTTGTGAACTTCGAGCCACGTGGTGTATCCGTAACGACGGTGCAAGGCCTGCCTCGCACAGCCACGGTTCCCGCAGCATGGGAAAACTCCGCATCCTGGGTGCAGAAGGTCGCCGCATCTGCGTGCGCTCCGGCGGCTGCGCTGTAGTCAGCGCAATAGCAGACCACATAGCGGCCGGCCTCGCAGAGTGCGCAGACGCGCTTTATCACCCCCAAACAGAACCTCTTATCCCTCTTCCTCCGGGCCGGGCCTCGGCGGCCTCCGCCAAGTCGAAAGTGCGGGAGCTGGAGTTTCCGCTGCTGGCCGCCACGCGGCTCGCGCCGAATGCCGCAGCAACAACACTGACGCCGCAAAGCCCGGATGAACGCACCGTCTGCACATGGCTGTCGCCTTGGCAATCTGTCTGACAGAACCCTGCAACTTGTGAAGCCGTGTGACCCCAGCAACTTCCGGACATCACATGCAACTTGGAGCTGCCCTGCGGTGCCATGCAAAGTCCAGATCAGACAAGAAAGAAATCGAATGGGTTTCGAGAACAGAACAGCAGTACTACTATTCCCAGTGCTACCAGTAGCACCCGGAAGGGGTCAGGGCTGTCCAACATCGAGAGCTGAAAGCGGGTTTTGAGCCTTGTGAAGGCGGGAAGTTTCTCCTCCTGTCAAACCTCCGTCGAAGGTATTGCACCATCTGGCCACTCGTGCCCCAAACGAAGGCGGCCCACGTTTTCTACAACTTAAAAATGCTAACCGCATCGGGCGCTCGTCCGTGTGCTAAGTTTGCATTCGCATGCGGGCAAGGCTTACCTCGTTGAACACGTCAAGCACGGCGTCTGAAAAGGACAGTTTTCTCTGTCGACAGATCTCCCACCGCTTCGTCTACTGCTGCTAGTCCGCGGCCGATGTGCGCCATCAATTCTACATCCCGTGCAGCCGCGATGTCGCTGCGCTTGCCTGTCGCAGTCACCCGAGAATCCTGCGTATGCAATCGCACGCAGCATGCCCCTGTGCAGCAAGGCAAGGCCCTGCAGCTAGCACTACCACAGCTGCTGATCTGTGTTCTGCAGTCTTGGAGCGCTCGACTTTCAACAGGACACGCTCAGAAAGGCGCACATGCTGCGTGCCTGAGATGTTTGTCCTGGGGCAGCATGGAAAACACATGCGCAAGGGCTGTGCGACGGCGAGCAGCAAGCTGGCACAGCAACAGCGCGTTCGTTCGTGGAACTACCCGGGTTGCACGGATTACTACAAATGAGCTCGTCGGCTTTTGTGCAGCGGCTTGGGCCCACGCCGTCCAGCGAGAAGCCCAACCTCGGAAGCTTCGCATCTCTCCCAAAATGTGAGCTGCTGGGATGGACTGATTTATCTTTCGGCAAGCGTCGCATCGACGGAGCAATTCACATCCTGCAAGCCGCTCAGCCACGAGGTTTCCGCAACCATTTGTGAACTGACGGAGGGCATCTTCTGCTCGACATTCCTATGACTTGAACCTGCCTGACACCGCAAGCCAGAAAGGAAATGATACCTCACGACTACAGATGGCTCCAGCAAGTCCTTGACGCAAGCATAGCTCTGCGCGCCGAAAGCCCCGCGCACTTCGAGGGAGCCAGCCTGGCACAGCTCCGCAATAGCGCTGGCCGTGTGACGATATGGCACGATGCCCAACCTACCTCGTGCGTAAAGTCGGAGTCCGATGAGCAACTTAAGAGGTCTTCGTCGGGGCCATCATACGATGCGCAATAGCCTCGGGGAAGCTCAGCCCCAAGAAACTCCTGTGCAGCACTCTCTGAAAGCCTGAGCCGCCGGCAGACAGTGAAGAGCATTGGCGTAGTGAAAGCAAAGCCAAGCGAAAATGTACGTGCGATGTCAGACCCGGAGCCAGCCGTCGAGGGAAAGTCTGCCACCGCACCGGCAGATCCGCAAACAGCCCCATAGGAGATGACCCGCACACGATCCTCAGCTAAAGGCACTGGAAACCGACCTGAGTCGTCCCAGCTCCAAAACAATTCTCTCCCTCACTCCGAGCTTCAGCTTGGCGGAGGAATGTCCCAGCGACATTGACCTCGCAGGGGCTCCCCCGGTGGCACCGGTACGTCTCGCCACCGGCGGCCCCCGGAACCGTTAGTGTTGCGGCTTCATGGGAGAAGTCCCGGTCCGTGCAAGCATGCTGCAGGTCGAACCTGAGTTGCGACCCTCCGTAGCTTTCGCAAGAAAGCATGCAAGAAGTGCGACCGGGAGACTTTGCGCAATAGCAGAGCGTGTAGACCCCCTCCATCAAGACACGACCCAGCTCGAACGATCGCGACAGGCCAAAGCCCGCCAAGGACCGTGGCCGAACTTCCTTCGGATATTGTATCTCGTGCCCTACATTGCCCTACCGTCTTAGATGAGCCGGATGGGGGCTTCGATGGCTTCGCGGTCAACCTGCCTCCGCTGCTCCTGTGACTGAGGCCGTGCCAAGTGCACAGGCGCTGCCGTCGGCACTGTAACTGATCAACGAAACCTGCCCGGGGGGATGTCAAGCTATAAAGCCGCAGGCATCCCTTGTCAAACATCATGCCCGTCTGCTGAAGCCCCTTGGCATCGGACACCCCTTCACAACCCGCCACCTCGTCGTCGCCGTGTAAGCCAAAGCCAGAGAGCGTGAAGCTGCAGTGTGTGTTCTTTACGCACTCGAAAGCCTCACCCCCAGTAGCACCATGTACCTGCAGACGTGCACAACATCAAGTTCCAGATACTGCCACCGTGAGCCGGCACACTCCAGAGCCAAAAACGCAATACCAGGTTGCAATGAGTGCACCCGCACTGTGCGTGAATTCTGCGTCACTGTCGCAGGCAGTATACGCGCCAGATGCGGCATCGTAGCTGTTCGTCCTGTCACAACCGAACGTCCCGGCCCTGGAAAGTTCCAAATTCTGCGAAGGCTGAAAAGAAAGCCCGACCCACAGCTCGAAGTAAGACCCCTTGCGGCGGGTCCTCTCTGACGTGTCGTAGTTTGCACAATAGCAGATTTCATAGCGACCGCCGCTGTTGGCAATGCCGAAACTGAAAGCCTGAGCGGTCCGGAAATACGACTGCGCATCGGTCTGGCATGGGTTTCTTGGACGTTGCAACAACCACTTGAGACAGTCGTGCTGGCACCTGCTCATCCGACCACGTGTCCACGGTGCCAGCTGCCTGCCGCATACGACTCATATTTGTTGCAGCGCATGCTCTCGGTACCGCTGAATTCATGCCAGCCTGCGCAGCGAGAAACGGGACGTGGCTCTTGAAAAAACTGTTGAGGCTCAAGCTGTTGGCTTTAGCACCACTCCATGACCCATTTGCTGGAAGGCTTCGCTGCTCTGTGGCTTCACTGACTGTTGATGACTGGGGTCTACAGAATGTTTTTTATCTACACGGGGACAACTTGCCGACGTGCTGACCCGAGTCCAGCGCCCGAACAGGAAGGACACCAGCACAAACGCAACTCGAATCGCCAGCTTTGTCCACCTTCCTCATCTCGGCTAGCTAGCACGAGCTGCACCTCCCTACTAGCTTTGGAAATTCCGAAGCATGTCAGTTCGGTTGGCCCAAGGCCTCTACCCTACACGTCTGAATCTTTCTCGGCCTGCGGCCGCTGGATGCCGAAGTCGGAAACTGCAGAGGCGGAGCCACAGCGACCGCCAAACGCAATGGGCCTGCGATTGCGTAAAAAGGCTTCAAAAATGAGCTCAACGTCTTCATGTGCGACACCGCTCGGGATTCACTGTTGGCGCCAAGGTGCTGTACATGGTCCCCACTTTGCAGCATGTCCCCAGTGATGTTGAAGGTGCAGAAAGCTCCCTGCAAGACTCAAGATTGTCGAGCTGGCATGTCTGACTTTACCGTCACATGTGCATCCCTCGTAACAAGATACACTCGTCCTGCATCCCCAAAACCTCAGAGCGCTGTTCCAGCAAGAACATGATCCTTCTCTGATGCTGTTGCCCTCTGCAAGCTCCGATACCCGCCCCGCAAAAGCCAGTTGCGAAAGGCGCCAGCCCGTTCATACCTTTGCCTTCACACAGTGAAATATGTCTGCCGATTCGGCGCCGGAGACCCGCAGCAGACCTGGACCATCAGGGAACCGTTGTGTTCTGTGAATTGGGACTCTGTTGGGCTGCTTACGCCATCCCACGCCTGCATCCTGGCAGTATTCTGAATTGGAGTTGCACTTCGACACATCGGAGTCGTCCGAGGAGTCATAGGCCGGGCAGAAGCAAACCAGGAAGCTTCCCTCCTGGCAATGCTTCAAGCCGTTTTCGCTCCATTTCGCTCCATTCTCCGGATGCTGGCCAGCCCTGAGAAGTGTAAGTACCCACCCTCAAGCGTGACACGGTATGGCCTGGTAAGCCACGCCGAATTCGAAGACGCGTTGAGTGGCGGAGGCCATTAACACACTCGCCGAACTCGGAGAGAGCATGCTAAAAGAGGCAAAAGAGGCAGGACCGGATGCCACATGTGCTGCGTTGCTACACTTGTCTGACAGAACTCATTGCGCCGCCATCACCGAGGTGCATCCGCCCATTTGGGAAGGTTTCGACAAAGGAGACGTCTGCTCCACATGTACTTCCGGCCGGCAAAAGTCTCAGTGGCAACCAGAAGCCAGTCCGCATGACACGCAGTTGATGCAGGTTAAGACCAATGCACGGCTTAGGCTTAGATCGGCAGTCAACAATCTCGTCTCTGAATTGAGTTGGCTCGCCATGCTTCGCCCTTTTAGCCATGCTATTGACCCTACAACCCTTGTCCCGTGCTCTCGACCCCAACAAGCTTACGACCAGGCTGCTGGACCCGATGAGACTCTGCGAGGGCCTCGGCTTTGCAACAGCTGGACCCAAAAAAGGCACCACCCTGGCTAGCGCCTAAGGACGCCTAAGGACAGGCCAGGCTGCAGTCCCCGACACGGCGATGGCGCAGGCTACGTCTTTGACGCAGCGGAAGCTTTGGCCAGGCCTATAGCCCACGCAGATCAAAGACGCAAACAGAAGCTTCAAACTCAAACTCGGCCGCTGCACGTCGCCCCGTAGGTCGATGGGCAGAACGCCACCGCGCTGCCGAGAACCAGCGCTAGGTTCAGCGCGAACCTTGTGGTCCGGGTACTCGTGACTGGACAAGGGGGCAACTTAAGTCATATAGTGTGGGAAGTCACGCCACTCTTGATCCAAAGAATGGCGTGAGAAGTCGCATGAGTGATTGTGATAAGCAAGCCCAGGCTCCATCTAAAAGCAGCTAAAAGCCATTTGTTGGGAACAAAGAATGCAAAACATGGATTCTGAGTCCGACGTGCAGGCAGTTCAAGGGTTTAGTTTAAATGCCGTGTTCGCATCGCTGACCCATGTAAACACTGTGACACTTCTAAGTTTCAAACGCTGACCCCATGCAGATGAGGGGTGATACGACTTCACCTTCAAAGATACAACTGAAAGTCTTAAAGTAATTAATTCCCTTTGTAGCTCGTGTCACAACAAGTCCAGCATCTCAGTCCCAGCGTCGCTTTCATCCGAGTCTGTACATTTCCTTTCCCACATTGTCGTCATTCGGCGGCTCGAGCTCCTGATCGCAGTGTGCAGACAGGCATGCAAGAAACAGGGACATGCGATATATACCAGAACGGGGAGAAGAAGAGCAAGAACATAACTGAGAAGAAGAAGCTGCACATGCAGCATCAACGCCAAAACACGAACTGCGTCTACATAAACGAGGCCACGGGGACAAGATGTACGGCGTAAGCACAGGTGTCTTCACAGTTTGCTCCACTCGTCCTCGAAGCACATGAACATGAAGGCCAAAGGCCGTCTGGCATGGCACGACATGGATGGCTCGCCGGACGAGACTGAGCAATGTATGGTAGTTTGAGTATCTGAATAGGCTTGCTTGTCACGGCTGCCCTGCTGCAGCTCGCGTGAGGCTCGTGAGAGGCTCGTGTGCAGCTCGCTAGTTTCCTCAGCAGAAAGAATGTAGTCATGTTGCAATCGGCCCTTGAAACCACGTCACGACAGTTTGTCATCTAGGTCTATCCCGCGAAGCTGATTGACTTGAAGCATGGCCAACTGGATACTGTTTTTGCCGTACGTCAATACCAGCCTGGGCAGATGAATGTTCAGCAAGGTACCACAGCAGGAACTACAAGACTACCAAGTAGAAGAAATCATCGCTGTCATTAGCTGTACACACCGTCTACGACTATCACTGTCAACGCACAAGTCGCTCTGATTATCGCGAACGGCCAACCGCCCTGTTCATCATCGAACGGACATCGGGTAACATCCGGCCCATCCCGGTGGAAAGGATCCGGCTTGCTCCACATCCTGCAGGCCCGTCTCCACAAAGGCCTGCCACGCATCGGCCGGGGCCTGGAAAGTCCACGAAATGGACGCGACTCATGAAACATCCGCTGAGACCGGCAATCTTACATGCAAAGACAATGGACATGATGACCATGATATTGAAAACTACAACCTAGCAAGAAAACGGGGCAATCACGCACATAGCCACATAGCAGCGGCATCAGCAGCCATAAACGAACATGATGACGGAAAGCATCGGCTGGTGAAGGTGAAGCACAAAAAATTGACAAAACCGAAATATACCTCCTGCACGCAAAGAACTGCTTCCTAAACTTCAGGCTGGGAGGAGTTGTGATCAGCTCGCGCGATCTCGACAGTGTTACGATAATTGAAGTTAAGTTTGGTCAGTTTAGTTTTCATGGAATCCCGAGGCTCCAACTCTCGAAGGGCCACAGCCCTGCAAGGCGGCAAAATGACACGCCATGACGACGTGCTGCACAAATTCATCTGCAACGCATCCACACACCCCAGACTGTCTTCGGCCTCATGCAGCTCAACACTGAACGCCCAAGTGGCCCAATGCCTGGGTCGCAAGCCGCTGAGCCTACCACCAATTGCACTTTTGTCTTGCACCCTCAAAAACAGGGGGCGACCGCAGCCAAACGTCAAAGCCGCTCTTGCGCCTTGCAAAGCGGGGAAATCCAAGGCCGTGGCACCTCGTAAGCCAGCACGGCACTTGCAACACCGAGGAAGCCGGCCGCAACCTGAGCTGAGCCAAACTACAACGTGCTCACAGCATGCCATCTTCCGAGCCCGCAGCTGCTGCGATGTAGACATCATGTCGCGTCACACGGACGAGAATGATGGCGTTGAGACTCGGACATGCACAGTGAACATGTGTGTGACAGACGTCTCGATTCAGTCTTCTGCAATCACTGCTATTCGATTGAGCTCAGCACGCTGCCACTGCAGCCAAACTCAGCTCACCCACTCACAACGCACACACAGCAATGAAGCTGCTGCCGGGGTTTCACTGCACCAACACACAGCAGTTTTGCTCTGTTTTCCATGCGGCAAGGCAGGTGGCGAGCAAGCCTGGATTTTGCAGAAACGATGGCCAGGAATCGAAGCATGAGCCTCGAACCCGTCACCTTCTTTCGTCGCACTCTCTTCTCGAGCCGCGAGACAGGATGCCCGTCTGGCGGCCCCATCCCCGAGCCACCTCTGGGCCGCCCACAGAGTGGCATACCACAAAATTTGACCTTGATGCACATGTTCAAAAAAAACAAAACAAGCGTGGTTCGACTGGACCAATCCGGACCTCTTACAAAAATTACCCCATCACATCTCGCTGCTCACCTCCTGGCTGAACTTGTTTTGGTGATCAAGTGGTCGGGTGGTGCATGTCATCGGCTTGCATGACATCAGCAAAACACTAGGCCACCATCACAACATAGGCCGTGCAACACGCACGGCCCAGCTCAGGAAACCCAGAAAAATTACCAAGCTGGTTTCGACTTCTCCCCGCTGGCGGGACCGTCCGCCGAGAAACACCGAGAAGATTCGAGAAGCCGACTTCCAACAAGGTTTTACATAGCTGGGATCCACACGCTGAAGGCTTGGAAGGAGCAACGCACCGGCGCCGGAACCGAGGGGTCCCAGCATCAGATCCCAGCCTGCCGTCAAGGCATGTGCGAAACCAAACCATATGTGGCGACTTTAATGGCTTCGTCTGCATTGAAGCTATGAGCCACAGCCAGCACCGTTATGCACCAGCCTTGCGGAGCTCCAGCAGTATGTGCTGCTAAGAACAAACCACCTGCAGCAACAAATGATGAATCTTGAGACACACAGGCGGCGGTATGCTTGGGACGCGGCCAACGCTGCATAGACACCTCATGCAACTGAACAAAATGTGTTTGAAATCCAAATTCCTCTCTACGTTTTGGAAGACTATTTTTGCAAAACGCGCACTGAGCAAATGGCATGCACGACGAAATGCTCATGCACACCCAGCTTTTGCACCACATGACAACATGGTGTGTGCAGAATTCGGACTGAAAAGTTGCCGATTACGCCGATGGTGGCGACCACACTTTTGAAATCGACATGTGTCTATGCAATCGCCCATGCAACTGCTTTTTGCAAAAAACTGCGATCATGCTTGAGTGCTTGTCCCCACGGAGGAAACTCATTCCCGCGATATGAAAGTGCGAACCGAACCAGCCGTGCCGGCCTGCGCCTGCTTACAGGGCATGCCGCATGTCACGTATCTTTGAAGTGTTGCCTGTCTGGCCGCACAATTCTGCACACGAAGGCGCTCGGTTTTGTGCATCTGCTTCAGTGGGCGCGGTCCTGGCAAGTAAAACTGACAGCGGTGCTATGTACTCTGGCCCCGCTGAGGACCTTCAAGTGCGGATCGGCAACGTGCTGGGCTCCGCAGCGTCAACGGAACCAACACGGAGCGTTTGTCGCTGCACGAGACGCCGCCGGCCAGGCCCGACCGGCCGAGGCGACGAATGACCGCCGCGACTCGACATCTTTCATGCTGGTAACTTGCGTACGTTTGAAAGACCAATGCGGTGACACTGCAAGGTTGCAAAGCCTCAGGGCTCAAGGGGCCCGTTGACGTAGTTTCCTGTGCGTTCCTTCGGAATAGATTCGATGACGGAGATGAATACTCCAACACCTCGTGTGAACAAACGTCGAACTGTGTCGCCGCTACATGAAATGGATGGCACAGAACAAGCCGATGACAATAGTTGGAGCCCAACACATTCAACACCAGAGTTGGAGAGTGAAAGCAGCCAAAGGTCGCTGTATAGCATTGCTCGAGTGGTGAAGGCAGCGATTTTTTTTCCCCACACCTTTTTGCGTCCGCCAAGAAAAGTGGTCCGTCGTCCTTCATCTTCCAAGCAAAAATTGACCTACCTAGCCCCCAGCGGCGGCCCCCAACCTCCGAGCCGAGTACGGCAAGGCGCTGGGGAGCGTTGCGCGGCAACTCCGGGTATGTGGCCTGTTTGCGGCACGTAGCCGCGGCCGGCCAGCGCGACGCCGTTTTCGTCACGTGGCATCGAGTGCCCCTTCCCACGGAGTGACGCTGTAGATGACCATGTCGAGTCGGCGGCGGTTATGTGATGCCACCCGGGGCGGTCGTGTACGTGAGCCACTGCTGCGGGACGACCTGCCCTTCGGGCCCGACGGCTTCGCATGCCATGCGGACCCAAGCATGCTCGACGATCTTGGCCCGGCGTGCGAGCAGCCCCGTGTGTGGGCATGCCGCGGCATGGTCCCCCAAAGCATCCATGGAGCGGCCGCATCCTGGTGCGTCGCCGCCGCAAGTGTTGGAGGTGGGCGGCAAAGGTCTCAGGGGCGAGGACATGGGCTTGGTCTCCGAGGGAATGGCGGTCAGCCAAGCCCCGGCGTGCGGTCCGGCCTGGGACCGCCGGTGTTGGCAACAGGACGCGGTCGCCAAAGTAAAAGGTGCACGTCCGGGTCGCGTGGTGTTGCCACCCATGGGCCCATGTTTGGTGGTTGTCGAGCAGTTGTGCCCAAGTGGGACAGGCCGCTCAACCTTCCGTGAGCGGAAGGGTGCATGCATCGGAAGCTTGTTGAATGCTGGTGCTCCGGCGGGCCGCCGACCGTTCCCTTTCGGCAGGGAGCGCATCTGGAGGCCCAGGGCTTGTGCGCACTGCAGAGTGGAGTCCCAGCCCGCCCAGGGCCGCAGGGTTGCCTCGATTTGTGGAGCAGTGGAGCTCCTCCATCCCATAAAGCTGCGTCGTGCGCTGCTGCATACCCTGCCTCCTCCATCTCCGCAACGATTGTCAACAACACCGGCAAACAGGCAGGAACCGTTCCGAACCGTCGGAACCGTTCCGAAGAACTCAGCTGCAGCTACAACACCGAATAATAAAGGACTTGCAAACCACCCTGGCCGGGACAGAAACCCCTCCTTACACAAACCACCGGTTAAGTTGACATATAAACACCAGGTGCACAATGCAGGCTTGGACGTTGCCCCGCATCCAAAGGTCCAAACCTTACCCTCGACACGACACCAGCCGACGATGGATCTCAACATTTTTCTTTGCAACACATTAATTGTTCTAGTTGTCCTATAATGTCCTATAGGTACGGGGGTGGCCGCCAAGACCAAACACAACCGTCGGTGTGATGACCACATTGAACAGATGTGGACGCTCTTTTGTTGAACGTGTCTAGGAAAGCTGCGCGGCACTGGAGTCGTACGCACTCCGGCCGTCCAGTGACACGAGAACCGGGGCGCAAAAACAAGGCGGGCCCGCACACTGGCGGCAAGTGCGTCTGTCCGCCGAACTGTCACGGCCTTGTGGCGCATTCTTCGGCCAGGGTTCTCGCGTCGGGGTCATCAGGCCCGCCATGGCCAAACCCGGCCGGCAGCGACGTCTGCCGGGACATTGGTTTGTGCGCAGTTTCGCGGCCTCCTCCGTCAGCAGTTCCAGCGCGGCTGTGGGTTCTGCAAAAGCAATTTCACGTGCAGCCCTCATGCCGCACAGGCCAACCGCCCCGCCCCGTCGAGCTTCGCGAAGCGCGCCGGCGACCGCTGGGGTGGAAAACTCAACGCAGCGTTCGGGTTTGTACTGAGGCAGCTCGGCAGGCAGTGCGACCCCCGCCTCGGGCGGGTGCCTCGCGGGATCAGGTGAGCGCATCCCACGTGGTTGCCGTGCCTCGAGCAAGCTCCGCTAGCATGCATGCCAGCCTCGACGGCGGGGTCGTCCTGCTGCGCAGGGGCTGGCCAGCAGCTTGACAGGCAAGCCGTACGGTTGTCAACGCCCCCACCCATCAAGGAAGGACCGAGGACCTCTGCCGCCCACGCAAGTAAGCAACGCGTGGACGGCCGATTCGCGGCAAGTGTCGGGCAGGCGCCACCTCAACGCGGCCCGGGCGCGAGTCGGGGTCTCACGTGCAAAGCACCATTCTACTCTTGAGGGGACCTTTGCTTGAGCCAAAACAGGCTACGTTGGGTCAGAATGGCTTGAGACAACATAGCTACGCGAGGTCGTACCAGAAGTTCTCCCCTTCGCGCGATTCTTGTATGGCCAGCCCTCCAGCTACTGCTGGTGGGACGCCATGGGGGCATGTCGGTCCATGCCACAAAGCGAAGGCTGCGAGCAGGGCAATGCCCTTGCGGCGGCGCTCGGCCAAACACGATGCGCTTTGTCAGGCCGCGGCCGAACTTCACCGGGACGATGCCTTGCTGGCCCTCCTTGATGACCTCCATGATCCTCCATGTTATTACGGTCCCAAAGCGCGCACGGACGGCCCCGGACAGTGTGACGAAGGCCGTCGGGACCCATTGTGGCATAGCCTCCATATTCGGCAACAAAAAGGCATTTGCGCAGGAAGAGAGCCCCCCGCCGCTCGGCATCTCCGAGTTCGGAGCCGCGGTGTGGCGAGGAGACAAGCCACGAAAGGGACCTGGTTGTCCTCGGCACGGACTCGTCGATTGCGTGCGTGCTTGCGCTCCGCACGCTGCCTCCATGCGAATGGCGAAGGTATGCCGTGGCACATGAGGAAGCCATCTGCGAAACGTTGCCAGCCTGCTTGGGAGGCCCACCTTTTGACGATGCGCCCCACGCCTGGCCGATCGCCACGCTGCCGGCCGTGCTCGGCAGACTTGGCCTGCAATCTATGCAACGGATGGCCCCGGGGCCTGTATACTGAGCGGCGTGGGCGGATGCGTTGTCAGTCATGCGAGCCCGCGACGGTGCCAGGAGCAAGCCGTGATGCGCCCTGTCTTCGGGAGGCGGTGGAGGCGCGGGACCTACTATGCGAAGCGGGCTTGCAGACTGGCCCCACCTGGTTCGCTTTTCTGGAAGGGGCACGCCCGCCCCCGGCAGACGACGTGGGGCCGGGGACGGTGGCCACATGGATGGCAAATGCGCGCGGCGCGAACCGTCAACACTCACTCCTGCGAACGCACGCTGCCCGACATGCCAGCCAGTTCCCGAGCGCTCTTGCGACCAGTCCGGACCATTCCGGACCGCAGGTGGACCGCAGGCGGGTGCCTGGCTCGCTGTGATCGCACCAGAACCGGCGACAGCACTCCCACTGCCTGCTATGCAGATCACTCTGAAGCATGGCCTGCAGTGACACCTGCGGGCCGCCCCATGGCTGCGGCGGTACAGTTGACCGCTTCGGCGATCAAGCACACGCGTGCCCCCGCACTGCCCGGCACGTGCTACGCAACCGTCGACGCACTGCACAATTTTGTTTCCACAAGACTCGTGGCCAGGCGGGCTAAAATCGTGGAGCGAGAATGGGTGCGGGTCGCCCGCGAAGCGATGGGGCCAGAACGGCACGTCGTTCCGCAGCTGGCCCACACCACTGCCCCCGCACGTCGGAGCACAGGACCGGCGCATGCTCGAGCTGGTCGTGTGTACGGGGGGCTGCGCAGCGGGGGAGCGAAGTGTTGCGACGCCAGGCGCCGTGCGCAGGGGCCATGCTGCGGGTTGCCGAACGTCGCAAGCACACCACGTACCCGGAACTCACCCGAGGAGGGCCGCAGACGCTCGTCGTGCTCGGATCCGAGCTTGGCGGCCGCTGGAACGCCCAGCCCGCAGCTTTGTGCGAGACCTGGTGCGTCTGCAGGCGTACCGCGCGCCCCCTGCCGTCCGTGCGGCAGCGACTGCAGGCTGGGCAAGGCCGGTACGGCTTTGGGCGCAACAGCCGCTGCAACCCGAGCTCGGCGAAGGCCCGCCGCTTGACAGCATTAACATGTTTTCCTTTCGCGTATCGGATGTTCAAACAACAGTGGACTAATGATGTCGCCCTGTTTTGGACCACGTCCACTTTGGGACACAGAACCGTCTGTGAAGAATATCATGTCTGTGACGCCCTGATGCCGTAGTGCTCG